GAATTTAAGTTTGTTGTTCTTGATTTGAATGGTTAAATCGAGGTAGTTCAACTTCTTGCCACCAAACTCTAGTTTAAACTTGATTTTTGGGTGTAAGTTATTGAGCTCCTTCACAAACTGTTCAGCTTCTCTCTCAGAACCTAACCATATGCCAAAGGAGTCGTCTACCAGTCTGAAATATTTGAAAATTCTGTTTCTCCATTTCTCTAACGTGACTATTTTATGGTCTATATCATCCATAAATACTTCAGCCATCAGGGGGGAGATGGGCGCTCCCATAGGCAGTCCTTCTTTCAGTTTGAAGGTTGTTTGGTTGTATTCAAAATAGTTATTAGTGGTGGTATACTGGAGGAGTTTACAGAATTCTGATATTTCTTTTCTGGAAAACTTTGAGTGTGTCTCTAGGATGTTTTTAGTTTGTAGCACGGCTGTGCCCCCGTCTACATTATTGAATAGGTTCTCTACATCTAAGGATATTAATTTTGCATTGTTAGGCAGGCGTACCTTCTTGAGCTTTTCTGTTAATTCTGTTGAATTTTTTATTGAGTATTCTGCCTTCCATTGGGTGTGTTTCTTAAACAGTGAGATTAAAAATTTTTCTAATTTATAAGTGACTGATCCTTTGGTTGAGACTACTGGTCTTATGGGTACGTCTCTAATGTCCATAGATTCTGAGGCTTTATGTATTTTGACATAACCCTTAAGGACGGGGATTCTAGGGTTCATCTCAATCAATAATTTAGGGTGTTCAGTAAGTTCTTTACAACTATCAACTAGTTTTCTAAAATGATTATTTTGGGTTGGGACAGGGTTCTTTTTGCATTCCTCAATTTCATTGTTATCTAAAAAGTCCTTCACTTTTTGATTGTATTCACACTCTTTCAAGATTACTAAAGAGTTGCATTTGTCTGCTTTGCTGACTATTAAATTATCATTTTTGATCTTTGTTTTTATAGTTTTTATGGTTTGTATTACATTTCTACCACTTAAGCTGTCTCCAATGGTTTCTTGGAGGTAGGTTTCGACTTTGTGGCTCACATTATAGATGGTTGATTTACTATTTACCTTGCTGTTGACATCTATCATAAGATCAATCAGTCTATCTTCAACTTTCTTAGGGGGGGGGCAGTACTTTATGCCTTGGTTAAGGAGTTCTAATTCTCTGTCTGTGAATATTGTGTCCGTAAGGTTGACAATTTTTGGGCCAAAGGAACTACATTTCTGCTTTTTATTTTTACTTAGTAATTTTTCGAATTTATTATCTTGTTTCAATTTTTTCTTGAATGCTACGTGGCTGACTTCCTCATGCACAGAATCTAAAAAAGTGTTAAGTTCGACACAGTGAAGTTTATGTAGGGTTTCGAGGTGTAACCACATGAGTTGTTTATACATCCTTTCTCGCTGGGAGTATTTTAGATTAATCTCAGATCTTAAAGTCAGTAACATGAGCTTACCTTTCAGGTTATCATCACCTTTAAAATTTCTGAACTTGTCACTGATGAATGTAGGGAAAACGCCATTCCTCTTGCATTTTGTGTTGAATTGAATGTCTAGTGACAGTTTCTTTGTTTTCAATTTTAGTTTTTTATACATTTTCAGTTGTTTCCCAAACTCGTACTTCGGGAAT